TAGCTTCTTGACCGCTATCTGGTGCGAACCTGAGCCAACGTAAACGCATCTCAGTATTTATACCATACGAGGCGTTCGACGTCTGCGAAATGAAAACGCGAACGCCGAACGCCACCTTGCAAGGAAAGAAGAAACACTCCAAAACAAAATCCCATTTCAGGTGAAATGGGAGTGGCTAGTTGCCCGACTGGCGTATTTTCAACTAGGGGAAAAAAGGCCAAATACTCAAAGTGGAATACAATGGTCACAAAGAGAGAAACTCAAAGTCATTACCACATACTAGTTCATGAAATGAAAGACAATGGTGGATAACGAGAGAAAAACAACTACTTTCCTGGCTATATGCCACGCAGAACATTGCATTACATCCTCCCGAAATCTATGCGATAGTTCGTATGAACGAATAAAATCGCAAGTGTTTCCTTCCTAAACGCTGAGCTGCGCTTAAGTGGTTCAGGAACACTGACTACCTGCAGACCGGTTTTGAGCTCTTGGCTCTCATCAGTACAGGGCTGTCCCAGATAGCTTCTTGACCGCTATCTGGTGCGAACCTGAGCCAACGTAAACGCATCTCAGTATTTATACCATACGAGGCGTTCGACATCTGCGAAATGAAAACGCGAACGCCGAACGCCACCCATTTCACCTGAAATGAGATTTTGTTCTGGAGTGTTCCTTCTTCCCTTGCCAGGTGGCGTTCGGCGTTCGCGTTTTCATTTCGCAGACGTCGAACGCCTCGTATGGTATAAATACTGAGATGCGTTTACGTTGGCTCAGGTTCGCACCAGATAGCGGTCAAGAAGCTATCTGGGACAGCCCTGTACTGATGAGAGCCAAGAGCTCGAAACCGGTCTGCAGGTAGTCAGCGTTCCTGAACCACTTAAGCGCAGCTCAGCGTTTAGGAAGGAAACACTTGCGATTTTATTCGTTTATACGAACTATCGCATAGATTTCGGGAGGATGTAATGCAATGTTCTGCGTGACATATAGCCAGGAAAGTAGTTGTTTTTCTCTCGTTATCTACCATTGTCGCTCATTTTATGAACTAGTATGTGGTAATGACTGAGTTTCTCTCTTTGTGACCATTGCATTCCACTTCGAGTATTTGGCCTTTATCCCTAGTTGAAAATACGCCAGTCGGGCAACTAGCCACTCTCATTTCACCTGAAATGGGATTTTGTTTTGGAGTGTTTCTTCTTTCCTTGCCAGGTGGCGTTCGGCGTTCGCGTTTTCATTTCGCAGACGTCGAACGCCTCGTATGGTATAAATACTGAGATGCGTTTACGTTGGCTCAGGTTCGCACCAGATAGCGGTCAAGAAGCTATCTGGGACAGCCCTGTACTGATGAGAGCCAAGAGCTCGAAACCGGTCTGCAGGTAGTCAGCGTTCCTGAACCACTTAAGCGCAGCTCAGCGTTTAGGAAGGAAACACTTGCGATTTTATTCGTTTATACGAACTATCGCATAGATTTCGGGAGGATGTAATGCAATGTTCTGCGTGGCATATAGCAAGGAAAGTAGTTGTTTTTCTCTCGTTATCTACCATTGTCGTTCATTTTATGAACTAGTATGTGGTAATGACTTTGAGTTTCTCTCTTTGTGTTATATCCTTCTTATATCAATCTTATCATTTTCGAAGCTTTGTTGTCATACCCAGGAACAAATAGTCATGAGAATGGATTTGAATATGCAATGAGTACTTGAACTGGAGGAAATCGTCTCATAAAGTGCCTTATCATTACCTAAAGGTTTTAATTGAGCATTAGAGGAGGAAAATTGGTTCAAAGTATATTTTGCGCCATATTCACTACAAACAGATGTCGACCATTGATGGAAATAAAAATTTCAAGCGGAAAATAAAATAGATTTATTGATACTGCCGTCATTGATATACCATTTTGTTTCGTACAGTTTGTTTGTTATTTATTGATACTTCATGTGAATGTATAATCATGCTTTTTCATGGTTTGGTTGACTTTTCCTATACCAATGTAAATTGGTCTATTGGATGAATAAATATTCTATTCTATTCTATTCTATTCTATTATATTCTATTGGATGTGAATTTCAATATCTTTCCAAAAAAGTTGACAAAACTGTATGAATGTTTGCTAAATATGGGTGGGTGAGTCGATTGAAAAATGTGGAAAAACAACATTTTCGACGGCAGTATCAATAAATCTTTTTTATTTTCCGCTTGAAATTTTTATTTCCATCAATGGTCGACATCTGTTTGTAGTGAATATGGCGCAAAATATACTTTGAACCAATTTTCCTCCTCTAATGCTCAATCAATACCTTTAGGTAATGATAAGGCACTTTATGAGACGATTTCCTCCAGTTCAAGTACTCATTGCATATTCAAATCCATTCTCATGACTATTTGTTCCTGGGTATGACAATAACAAAGCTTCGAAAATGATAAGATTGATATAAGAAGGATATAAGATGATGCCTTCATAAAACTATAAAGCTTCAAGAATATCCTGGCTAGTGCTCATTGGGCAGTGCGGAAGAACGTCATCAACATGATCAACATAACCCTACTTTTGTTATTAACAGTGTTGAGTGTTTGAATTGTGTGATTGGTTTTGAGTAGGAGACTGAGTAGGAAACACAGACAAACTACACTCAGTGCAGTTTGCCTGATATTGTGTTGAATGCTCCATTCTATCAAATTCTTGCAAAACTCGCTATCTGACATTATTTGTGCTAAATTGTTGTCATCTTCCTCGTTTCCTAGTTTCCATTCAGATATATGAGATGTATTTTCCATTACGTTCTGACTCGTTGATGGTACTTCATGAAAATCAGGTCTTGATGAATTATTGCTATTTGGTGGTTTCAGTTGGGATGAACTGAAAGACGCAGGGCTTGTGAATTCAGATTTACTGTTGCTCTCACGACTTGACTAATTTTCTTTATTTTTCCGCTTGAAGTTGCCATTTCTCTTAATTTCACACCATCCATTTTTTTGTGAGTTCATTTCAACGTGAGTCGTTGTAGGAAAAAAAAAATAAGAACATTTTTATAAAGGGATTTGGGTTTAACACAGTTCTGAAAAAAAACTTGATAAATCCTATAGATTTCATGATTGATTTCGATGAATTCATTGTGGCTCATAGGTTTTAATAATTACTTTCACATAGCTAGAATAATATTCAATTAGGTTTTATTATTGCCTCAGTCAAATCCTAATTGGCCTATAGTGTCAATTTGGTTTTATGTTTGCTTCATGGGGTATTTTCATAGGATTAGTTCAAAACCTCTCGGTCAAATTCGAGACACTGATGGAACTTAAGTGTTTTGAGAGGGTTGTTAAGAGTGAATAGTTTTGATGAAGAATTTCGATGACTTTCGCAGAGCTGTTTCAAAACTGAAGTGAGCTGAATGCCAAATTGTTTTATGCCATAGTTCTATCATATTATCTCAAAACCTTTTGATAGGATTATAAGGACATGAAGGCCAATTTGCTTTTTTCAAGGCATTCATAAAACGGTAGAACAAATTAGACATATATCCGCCCACATAACCTCTTTGAAGTTTCATCGAAGCTATTAGGCATTTAAAATGTTACTTGGGTGGATAGTTGGAATCAAAGAAAGCTATGACATACCGTCATAGTCCCTGTTAGTCTCAAATCAACTTGTATGATGAAGCAAATATGTGTGTCAAAGTCAATAACGAATACAGTAAACCATATGACGTCGCGGAAGAAGTTCTTCAGGGTGAATCTCTAAGCCCTTTGCTTCTCTAACTTTTCATCTCGAACATTAATGATTTTTTCATCTCTCAAGGTGCAGAATTGATCAATATTGATGGTCAGAACAACATTATGCTGTTATTATACGCAGATGACCTAATCATCCTGAGCGACTCACAATGTGACCTATCTAAAAAGCTCAAAATCCTCGAGTTATATTCAACTCAAAATATAACCTTGTAGTTAATAAACAGGAAACTAAAATAATGATTTATGCCAGGAAATGCCACTACAAGTCATATAAAACGAAATTTCATTACAACGGCAAGCCACTCGAAGTGGTAAAAAAATACCCTACATAGGGATTGAATATTCATCATCAGCCTTTTTTCTGGAGATGTCCAAATCGGCATCAACAAAGGCAAACCAAGCTATTGGATCGGTTATGAATTTGATGTGTCAATCAAAGATGACCAGCTGGGATTCGCGTATAAAATTATACGAATCTATAATATTGTCTTCTCTATCTTACGGTATCAGCCTCTGGAGATTGCGGTACGAACATACTTCAAAACTGTGGATCTTGTCCTAAGGTATATATCGATCAGACAGGTCGTTCATCTTATCAGCGCATTCATGAACGTAAGATGAATTTTTTGAAGAAGAAAACAAATTCAACATACGCCAACCATATATCAGAAGAAAACTATAGTTTCAATAATAATTCCGAAATTCTACACGTAGAAAATAGAGGAATGTAACTCGATCAATTTTGATCATTAGAAATCAACAAACTCAAAATTTTTTACATTTTACTTGAAGATCAATTAGACCTAAATAGTTCATCACTGTTGAATTTGTTCTCTTAGTAGGTAATGATATGTATTTGATATCAACCCTTTCAAGTTAATTCGGTATACCGTATTTTATGTAGATATTGTGCCTATAATCTCCGAAATAAAGGTTTATCGAACCTGTCCACAGCTAACTAATCCTTCGAATTGGGAAAGTAGGATATATAAAAGTTATGCAAGCCAAGGTTGGTTCAGTTCATTGTACCAGTATATCACCTGACGAAGCTACTGTGTTAGCGAAACATGTTGTGTGTGTTCAAGAATTTTGTGGAAATCTTATCATTTTGTAAGTTTTTACATTTGCTATGGATCTCCATCAACTAATGGCCGAGTCAATTAAAGAAAAACGAATTACTATCGATAGTACGAAAATTCGAAATCAAGAAATACGTTGGTACTTCTGAAGTGAAATTTACTTTCAGACAAAGATATTATGACACATGAGTACTGCTTCAATAAAAGTATATATTTTGATATTTGACTCAAACACAGTTCAGTATGCTTTGGTCCCAAAAGGTGATCCCGGGACAATCGAAGACGTGAGTGTGATGGTAAACACATTCTATGAATTTTTTTCTGTCTCCTGGATAGGGTAGGTAGGTACCATTTGGTTGGTCCTCACAGAGGCCGCTAGGATCAATTGTCGAAGCAGCTGAAACGAAACAACAACAACAATTATTCATATTCATTTTGTGTTTGTGAAGTAATGAGAACCAATCTTGATGTCTTCTGTCATGTCAAAATTCTGTAGTGGTATAGCAATTTTCCTAGCAAGTCCATGTATTAGTAACAATCAGTCAAAATTCAATATAATTTCGAACGGCATGAGATTAGCATTTCATTATTACATTAAAATCGAATCTCATTGAAGATCTCGCAAAATGAATGAATTATCAAAAGAAATTAGTACAGTCAGTGGTTTATTGAAGAAAAGTTTCAGCGTTATATGTTTATCGACATTCTTGATATTGATGTTTACTATAAATATCAAACTGTATCTGATAAACATAAGAACATTGATTATATCGAAATATTTCGATAACGAAGAGTTTTGGATATGTTCAAAGAAGGACAAGGACCTATAGTATTTCATGGATTATTGTACAGATACTGATAACAATTTGAAGACCTCTTATATAGGGAGAATGATTCGCATTAGTAAATTCACCTGTATTAGTTGTAGGCTGTATTGATGTAGGTTGAGACGTAGATGTTTCTGTAGGCCGTGGTGATGTAACTGTGGTTTTAGGTTCTGGTGTTGTTGTTGTACCTGTGGTTGTAGGTTCAGGTCGTGGTGTTGTACCTGTGGTTGTAGTTGGAGGTGGTGGTGATGTAGTTTGGGTTGTAGGTTCAGGTGGAGGTGATGATCTATCTGTTGTCGTAGAGCTCACCACTTGAGCTGAAACGAATTTTGTGTCAGAGAAAATATTATCCTTAAAAAATATTCATATATAACGTTCGAAAATAAATCTAATATCAAAATCCTTTGCTCATCATTCATCTCAATAACGCAGGTTTCCATATAAAAAACAAATGAAGCATACTCCAAAGTCAGTCCCTTCAAAAACTATTATTCGTTATTTTCTCTCGAATTATTCTAGTATGAAATGAAACAATATGACATCACCACAATGTCTTTTCTGATCCACAACTGATGATGAACCTGATGACAATTATCCCATAATAAGACAATGATGTATTTTTCTCGTTTTGTATACAGGGTATATATTCATGAGTTAATATATGGAGTACTATAAGCACAATGCTGAAAATCAGATGGAAGGGGAAAGGAAACATGGATAATCCAACTAAAATATTTTGGTTATTATGAAGCTTCTGGTTTATCCAAAAGTGACGTCCTCATTGTTATTTCCAAAGGGACACCCTATGTATTCTATAATATTTTTGAATTCCTCTCATGATTCTGATTCTAATTTATGTATATTACCCTATACCTATACCGGTTTTTGAGTTATTCAAGTTTTTATAGAAAAAATGACAAGATGCAGCGTGTCAAATATACGTCACTTTCATGTGAACTGCAATTTGTAGTGATATCCAGTGATTTAATCGTGAATATTATTTGTATCTTTGATATTTTCAATGGGACATCCTATATTATACAAAATTTTTTAATCCCATCCGTGATTCTCATTCAGATTCATGTTTTAGCCCTATTCATAGAATGAACCGTTTTTGAGTAATTCGATTTTATCTAGAAAAAGTGACATTTCAAACATACGCCATTTTCATGTAAATTGCAATTTTCAGTGATATCCTCTGGATAAAAAATCAGGAGTTCATAGATTGAAATGTAATGATTGTAATAATAATAATAAAAATAAACGCTTCCATTGATAGACAGAAAGAACAAAAAAAATGCCGCTTATGTTGGTCAAACAGGTAGATGTTTCGATATTAGTTTTTCTGAACACAATCGTTTGATTACAAAATTTTTTTTCGCGGATGATCCGAACTCCCCTTCTGCCTTTGCTAATCATGTCAGCTTGACAGCTTGTCATGTCACGTCAATTTTTATTAATTCATTCCATGAATCAATTTTTTCCAGTGTACATGTGTCGATTTAAACTTTTTTTGAAAAATATAGTTTTTCAATATTCAACCTCATCAGGGCTAGATTTTTCTGGATCTTCAGCAGCTTCAAACTTACTTCCACCTGGCTTACCTTGATGGTCAACCCAATGATGTTTTACTTTTTATGTTCTATTGTGTCTTCATGAGGTTTGTTTTTTCTGTGACAATTAATTTTTACCATTCTACTTCCTTCATGTATTTTGAGTATTACAGTCTGATGATGGCCGTTGTGCCGAAACCGGTTACTGTTTAATTGACCAATTTTTTCATTAAGTGTGATCAACTGACTTTTAGTATTTATTTTTTCAATGATATCCATCAGTGATTACATCGTGAATATTGAAGGTTGAACGGAACACTCACCATAATCACAACCAGTGAATGATTTACAGGGTGTAAAGGAAAGTGGCTTCAAATAGTTAATATGAAACATAGAAAATCCCGATTTTTTTTCAAACATAAACCCTATTTTTTCTTCTCATAATTCGATTCTATAATAAAAATGAGCCCCGATTCTAATCGCCTCTTCTATACCCAAATAAAGTCATAATTTCGGAGATAGTCGGTAAATAGTACTTAATTCTGCCTGGATATTTGGATGCTTTAATAACATATGCGAAATATCTGTCAACAAATGAATTAAAGTTGTTCACTATCAGATATCATCATCTGCGAAAGTGCATTGCTCGTCTTGGGTATGATAATCTAGATTTAGTATTATTACATTCGCTTTGTATCACCTATACCCTATACATTAACGAATTCTTAGTTATTATACCGAACACGAGCAATATTTTGCACTTTTGCAGATGGTGAATCTCTAATTCATCTGTCGATAGATATTTTGCACAGCCTACTAAAAGAATCCAAACAAGCAGATATTGCGAAATAAAGTACTATTCATGGAATATCTCCGAAATTATGAGATTTGGGTATAGAGAAGTCAATCAGAGCTGCTGTGGCTCAATTTCATCATATAATTGAATAATAAGAAGAAAAAAAATGGTTGTTGGATGTATGATGAATTGATATTTATCATACAGGACGTGGAAAGAAATTCTGAGTTGAGAAAACCTAATCACGAATCTGCGATTGAGGTCTATAAAAATAACAAGTTTCCATCGTTCAAGTTTGAACCCCTTGATTATGGGTGAAAGTATTGAAAAGGAATATTCTCAGATATATTTATGTGCACAAAAAAATGGATATATATAAAAAGAAATACATTGAGAATTCGCATTCTCCATGTGATGAAAGTATCAATTCTTCCTCGGTTTACTCAACAGAAAACAACTACTTTCCTGGCTATATGCCACGACGAATATTGAATTACATCTATTGACTATTTAGAAAGAGAGCATGAAAAATCAAAATCCTCTGAGAATATTCCTTTTCCGAAAAGAATGGATTTGAAAAAATTCAGATTTTCAATATTCCACATTCACTTTTCAATCACTGGATATCACTAGAAATTGCAATTCACATGAAAATGTCACTTCCTATAGAAATACTTGAATAACTGAAAAACCGTTCATTTTAGGTATAGGGTATCATACATGAATTTGAATCAGAAACATAACTTTAAGAAGAGATTAAAGCTTGAACTTTCAGTCAGGTAGGTCTTATTACAATCAAAAATCTAGCAATGCTTCTTTGACAATCTTCTTATATTCAATTCTCAATATTATGCAATTTCTTATTAAAATTTTTCAATTATTTCTTCTTATTGTATACTTATAATATATCGGTGTTTCTTCGAGAAATAACGCATCTACATTGTTTCTACACCTTTCATGATTTATATTTTTGTATATTAACTTGTTCTTCTCATTTTATTTTTGGGGTTGAGTTGAAAAACAGCTTTCTGTTGATACTCCGCCTATAGTATAGTGCCTACGAGCCCAAAAATGGTCAGATACTTCCCCTTCTGAGTAAAAGCGAATCCTTCGGAACAGGCATAGAGTAAGTAGAAATAAAGAGATTCAGGGGCAGACCCACCCCTGAAACCCGCGGAGACACCCCCACCCCCTTCTCGAAGGGGTGGTGCGCAGAAATGCATATAAATATTATTTTCTCAAAAACGGTGAGAGATAGAGATTTGTGATTTACGCCATTCGAAAGAAAATTGAATTGTTCATCTGATAGATATTTTTTGATTGATCAAAAATCTCAATGTCAGCTCCCAATAAAAAATATATGGGAGGAGGGAGTTCTAGGCTGTCATGTTTTTCCTCATAACTATTAAACGGCCCAAAGAATCGAAAAATTAAACGAGAGAAAAAATGAAGCTTGTAGTTTTTTCTATCGAACGATATATATAATGTTGGAGATATCTATATAGAGAAGGCATCCAGTGGCGTACGAACACATGCGTTTGGTAGAATAATGTGTAAAAAATGATAAAAATACCTACCTACCTACCGTTTGTGCATGCAACGTGAGAAATGAACATTTTACTATATGACGTGAGAGGAAGGAGTTGATTTACTCATCACACAGACTAATAATTATGTAGGATACTACTTGGATTCAAGAAGGAATGTGGAAAATCTAACAATAAAGGTACAACTATTTAAACATTTTTATTGTAATAAAAACAATCTAAAAGCATTAAAATTGACTCATCAACTCCGAAAACTACATAAAACAATCTGAGAATATAAAAATTGACTCATCAACTCTGAAAATAAAATAAAACAAATATAAAATCAGGTACTACAGCGCTAATTGCAGCATTCCTTACAGGTACATAATTGTGTACATTTTAATTTCCTCAAGAAACATTTGCATCTATGATCACAAATTTTACATAGGCATTTAATCATTATATCTGTTCCCAATATTTCGTTCTTGATAGTTGTCCAGAGTGGTATCCATTTTTCTTCTTCCAATGTCCATCCCCATTGGACGATTGCGAAGTGTCAGCTCTATGAATACATCTGTTACGGCAGAAAAAACATCCTATGCTTCCCAACATTTTTTTTTCCTTTTCCGAAGAAGGCTGATGTTACATCGCACCCAGTGAGAGCGTGAAACATTGGCAGACTCAGGCATTTCTCTTTCAATTCATCAGAAATTTCTACGCAAGAAATGTACTTCATATTCTTTCCCGTACCAAACTCTATCCAAATATCCTGCTCTTGATGCTGATACTGATAGAACATTGCGAGAATGATCACATCAGTATCCACAGTTTTCATCAAGATTCTTTTCAAATTATTTTCCATAAAATTTTGAGTATGAACAAAAATCCGAGTATCAGCTTCCTCATGGTTGCAAACATCCACTATTGTAAAGTGTTTCCTCAATTGTATTACATACTACTACTGTATTCTCGGGTAATGGCATGTGTTTGAGGTGGTTGGAAATTAAATCGAACAATTGTTTCTTATTTTCCGAGTCTCTCAAGAAGTCATTCCAATTTCGTGGAATGCTGGTGTTTTCTCTTACCAATTTCCTGTTCCCTTCTCCCCTCTTTTCTCTCGCTCTTCAAGCTCTTATCAATATGAATATCCCAGATTACATCAATCCTCTTAGAGGTATCTAAAATTCTTTGAATATAAGGCTTCACAATAAGAGAGATACATTCCTGAAAAGTACAGCAAGCCTTGGGTTGTAGTATATGTACTAATGCAGCACCATCAATCAATACAGCATCAACATCGGTTGGTCTACTCTCAACTGTTATGTATTTGTCTAAGCATCGTGATAAATCTGATTCCGTGCCATGGTACATTTGACCAAGTTGAGCGAGTGAGGGTGGATAAGGATGATTCTCAAATTTGAAAAAAAAAGTCAGGTCACCATCTCTATTCTGTGACACGACACAACGTAAAGTCTACTGAATAAAGTAACATCTGATTTTGATTCTTTCACTTTACCTGATTTATTCTGTAATTATTTTTAGTGATTGGTTCAGAAATTGATTTTTTCGAGTGTATCAACCTATCATGGAAAAATTTTCTGCATTGATGGACGCCTTTATCTAATGACAGTCTCAAACATTCGTCATTCACGACAATTCTACTTTCTGGAGCGAATAATTCAGTTGAGGTTTCCTGGAACGGAAAACCATATTTTATGTTTTGAAGGTATCTGATCCCAATGAAGATGGACATTGAAAGAAGAAAAATGGATACCACTCTGGACAACTATCAAGAACGAAAGATTGGGAACAGATATAATGATTAAATGCCAATGTAAAATTTGTGATCATAGATGCAAATGTTTCCTGAGGAAATTAAAATGTACACAATTATGTACCTGTAAGGAATGCTGCAATTAGCGCTGTAGTACCTGATTTTATATTTGTTTCATTTTATTTACAGAGTTGATCAGTTAATTTTTATGTTCTCAGATTGTTTTTATGTAGTTTTCGGAGTTGATGAGTCAATTTTAATGCTTTTACATTGGTTTTAATACAATAAAAATGTTTAAATTGTTGTACCTTTATTGTTAGATTTTCCACATTCCTTCTTGAATTCAAGTAGTATCCTACATAATTATTTGTCTGTGTGATGAGTAAATCAACTTGTTCCTCTCACGTCATATAGTAAAATGTTCATTTTTCACGTTGCATGCACAAACGGTAGGTATAGGTAGGTAGGTATTTTTTATCATTTTTCACACGTTATTCTACCAAACGCGCATGTGTTCGTACGCCACTGGATGCCTTCTCTATATAGATATCTCCAACTTTATTTATATCGTTCGATAGAAAAAACTGCAAGCTTCATTTTCTTTCTCGTTTAATTTTTCGATTCTTTGGGCCGTTTAATAGTTATGAGGAAAAACATGACAGCCTAGAACTCCCTCCTCCCATATATTTTTTATTGGGAGCTGACATTGAGAATTTTGATCAATCAAAAAATAGCTACCAGATGTAAAATTCAATTTTCTTTCGAATGGCGTAAATCGCAAATCTCTATCTCTCACCGTTTTTGAGAAAATAATATTTATATGCAACTGTGCGCACCACCCCTTCGAGAAGGGGGTGGGGGTGTCTCCGCGGGTTTCAGGGGTGGGTCTGCCCCTCAATCTCTTTATTTCTACTTACTCTATGCCTGTTTGAAAGGATTTGCTTTTACTCAGAAGGGGAAGTATCGACCATCGTAGGACCTTAGCTACTATTCATCATTGCAGATAGGTATATAAGGTATGGAAAATTATATTTGTCTTTTGATTTTTATTTGTGCGATTTTTTCTGCAAATGATGAATAAAGACGATTTATTATTATTATTATTATTATTATTATTATTATTATATGAATAATTCAGAAATGTTATGAAATATAGGGTGTCCTTTTGAAAATAATGAAGATGACGTTACTTCCGGAAGAACCGGAAGCTTCATGATAAAGAAAATATTCTTTGGATTCTCCATGTATCCTTCACAGAACCTATATACCAATCGTGATATTTTTAGTTCCCCATGCAAAGATCGCGTCAAATTAAGAAGATCTACCCTGTACACTAATGACAGTTCCCAAGTAGCACACATATATTGGGACAATATCAGTGCAATATTACAAAAATATCGGCAAAATATTATGAACGTAATATTGACGAGAAAAAAAATGTGAACATTCGGCGATATTGGTACTATATTAGTTTAAAAATGTGGTTGGCATGTCGTCTTGCAAACATTGGTGAAATATTATCACAACTATATTGGTTGAATATTCGTAGATTCATGAAATGTGAAATCAATATTGGCGAGAAATGAAAAGTGATGATTTGACAAAATTGATGCAATGTTAGTTGGAAATATTGGTAGATCATAGAAAATTATTATGTTGCCATTTTCTCGTCTCTTGAGAATATCTCATACCAATATTGGCGAGACGTGAAATGTGAAGATTTGACGACGATATTGGCGTCGTCCTGAGGAAGCTGCCTTGTCAACCACGGTTAACCCCTACGCCAGATAACTATGCTTTTCAATCGTCTCGAGCCAATATTTATATTCTCTCGTGTGACCTACTTTTGGAGTACGTTATTACCTCAGACGAATAAATTCGTCTGAGGTTATTACCAATCATTTATAGCGCCATCTATCGACATAGGTTAGAGAGTGATATCGAATAAATATCGAGATGCCGATATCGCTATGTATCTTCAAAACAATATGTTACAAATGCAATTGAACTTGAAGAAAAATGTTGAATGGCCGATATAGATTGTCATCTTTGAAAAAATATGCATTCGATATCTTCCGCATGATATAATTAGAATGATATCAATCAATATATAGGTCAACAATATTTGAAACAATATCCAGCCAATATTGCATAACAGAATCGACATGGAAAGAATGTTCAAATTGCAATTTTGGTTATAATAATGAATACACATGATTTTTTGTTTGATCGAAATTATATTCCTTCCTCCTTATAATAACACTGGATATCATTCATTAATCTCAAATTTGATTGTGACTGTAACAAATTTCATTTAAATGAGGCTTAATATGAAGTCACAGGAAAACGGGTTAGTAGCCATCACTAATATTATGACGTCATAGTATTAGGCCGCACAGCCATATACTGGCGCGACAGAATGACAAGATTCAGATTGAAAAAAAAAGAAGAAGAAGAGGAAAACAGTTTCAAACGCCAGAAATTTGAAATTTGAAAATGGAAAATGATAATGTTTATACCAAATACTGCCTAGTGCCGCAATGCCTTTCATCAACAAAAGTATCGCCAGGAAAAATATTCCTTTCATTGCCAGCGGGATCGAGTGATAAAAATAAAGAGAAAAGAAAATTATGGTTGCAAGCCATAAATAGAAATGATTTATCCGAGAAAACCATAGGATTTGTTTGTGAAGACCATTTCGAAGTGAGTATACGTTCAAGTATGTCCTAGTAATATATATTTGAAACAACATGCAAAAAGAAGTCCTGTTTGATCCTTCTTATTGTAGATATCTGCTTATTATTCAGTTATTATTATTCAGAATATTGAGATCATATAATTGGGATAGATTATAGAAACTACAAGCTCAGATAATCATAACCTCACTTTCTTTCCTCATATTATTTTCAATCTTTCGGACGTGAACATGCAGCCATGGTATTCTCCTTCTATATTTTCCATGAATGTTTGACATGACAAATAAAAACAGCCACATCCAGTCGGAAATCATCGCTGCAGTTCGGCTGTTGGTCGGAAAGTTGCAAATATTATGATTTTCAATCAGAAATTAATGAATATTCGGTGCTTAATAATGTTTTTCGCATGTATAATTCGACATCTATATGTACCTACATATGAGTAACGGAACAAAAATATATTTCAGTGAAAAATTTTCACACGCGTATACCCTATTGTTGAAAAAAATATGTATACCATGTTGTCGTGCCAATATTTGTGAAACAATCTTATGTTTTATTCATAATATTATTGTGAATATTCGTGGGAAGCAGTCGAATGTGACCAATATTAGTTAGATTTCTTCGTTTTTTGTCGAGCTTTCGGAAATATTCATTTTCTTTATCAAGTCTTTCTAGAAAATCGAATGAACAATAATGTTAATATATGAATGTACATCAATGAGATAGGTATACTTACTAACATAAAATACTTTATAAAATCAGCAAAAAAAGAAAACATATGTGTATAAATAAATGGAATGATGTGACAAAAAATGTCATAGATGATGGTTGACTAATTCGTATAAAGTTGAATATTCAGAGTGAAATGAATACTTAAAATAAGATGTGGAATATAATATGTTATTGTAGATTGTATATATTTCACATTACAGGATATCCCTTTCCGTGGGAATGAGACCATAAAAAAAATCTGTATATTCAACTTTATACGAATTAGTCAACCACCATCTATGAACATTTTTGTCACATCATTTCATTCATTTATACACATATGTTTACTCTATGTGCTGATTTTATATAATATTTCCTGCTAGTAAGTATACCAATTTCATTGATGTACATTCATATCATATACGTATTAATAAACAATACGGATCATAACGGGTGCCAGGATGAAGCCAAAAATATGAAACAAATGAATATCCATAAGGATTTGGTGGCATGATACGCATGCGCCATGCGCTATTATAGTAGTCATCAAAGACATGCGTTTCGGTGGACAATGACGTTTACTAGCCTCAAAGCAGTATGTGTCTGATCGTTTCAAAAGGTTTCCTTATGGATAGTCATTTGTCTTCAAAAATCGGCTTCATGTTTCGCTATGGAAACAGATAGAGATTATCCGTATTGATTATTAATACGTATATGATTCATATATTAACATTATTGTTCATTCGATATTCTAGAAAGTCTTGATAAAGAAAATGAACATTTTTGAAAGCTCGACAAAGAATGAAAAATCTATGACTAATATTGGTCACATTCGACTGCTTCCCACGAATATTCCCAATGATATAATCTATAGAACAGCACGAAAACTTCCCCTTACGTAATATTTATATATACATGTTTTTCCACATATTGTTAACGAACTCTCCAACCAATATTGCTTTGATATTGTTGCTGACAATCCACATTTAGCTCAGGTTGAACCAATATCTCCAATATCAAATCAGGATTCAGCTAATTTGATGTGCTACCTGAATTATAGTGTGCGATGACTTATAGACAATTGATTGATTGGCTTACAGCAAGTGACTCTGTATTCGTCATTGCAATTGTTCAAAGTGACATCCCAGAAAAGTCCTGGCGAGCAACGCATCAGAACCTTCTTTCCCTGTGCGCATTCGTAGAATTTGGAGCAGTCATATGGATACGGGTAGTACACCGCAGAACCTGAGTCGGGAAAGGGACAGTCTGGATCGTGATCTCCATATTCAAATGGTATCGCATTTCCTAAAAAAACGAGAGTTAAATAAATATCTTCTTTCAGAATAATTTTTTTCACTATTTCTCCAACAAATCCTTCAATAGTTATATCGTATCCTTCTGGATTGGCTGCAACGAAATGAATTGGGTCCTTAGTATTAAGCAATAATTATACGTCATTGTGTAATATCTCACTTGAGGGTATTTGATATATTTCATAGTTTTTAAACGCTTTTCATCAACAAAAGCAATCCATCAAACCAGAACGCGACTGATGATCAAATTTCTAGTTACCTGTTAAATTTCAAGAAACAGGATATGACTGTTAAGTGTTCGTTCCTCAACAGGATTAAGAATACTGAAACAGATGATGATTCATAATATTGCATAAATTACTAAAACTACGAAAACTAATCACAAAAACAATATCATCATTGATAAAAATAAGCCAAATAACATTGATGGTAATATGTTCTTGTGTAATGAAACTTAAGAATAATTCAATAATTAAGCTAATAATGTCGAAGAAAATAAGATGATTTATCCGAATAATCCTCTTGAATTGTCCATTTTGTAGCGGTTCCACAGTGGTCCAGAATGTGATATGACTATTTTTTCAATTATTTACTCTGTGATTAGGCATATTTGCGTTTACTATTCCCCAGCAATAGTAATTATTCATTCGTTGATGAACAAATTTCCTGGATGGGACAATAGACTGAAGACACACACTTTAAAAATGAGGATTATCACAATGACGAATGAATCAATAAAAAACAATTCAATTTCAAGTTTACACAATAAGCTTGAGTGGTAATAGTTCTTCGAATTATCCCAATTTGACTCAAATATCCAGGCATGCACAAAAATTATTAGAATAAAACCAATAACTTACCTAGGGCGACCAGAAATGCAATATAAACAGCCAGTATTCCTGAAAAATATTGAAATGAACTTCAGATAAGGAACAGGAATTGGATTTCTCAAACTCACCTTCCATTCTGAAAATGAGTTCAAACTACTTGAGAATACAAATGAATACCTGCGCCTATATTTATATCAACACCGATTTTTAGATATCATCAAACCAAAATATATTTATGTACCTAGCACTCATCAGATGAATGATAAGATGAATGTTCTCGGAATGATGAAAAGTTGAGATTTAATCAATGAAAAAAAAAAAAGATAGCGCCAGAATTAACATCTTTATTACTGAAAAGGTATATTCTCAGATATATTTATGAACACAAAAAAATGGATAAATAAATTAAGAAATACATTCAGAATTCGCATTCTCCATGTGATGAAAATATTAATTCTTTCTCGGTTTATTCAACAGAAAACATCTACTTTCCTGGCTATATATATGCCACGACGAACATTGAATTACATCTATTGAACACACACGATTAGAATTTGAAAACAAAATCTTCTGAAGTAGAGAATTTGCATTCTCCTCCATATAAAGATATACAATAATATCATTCTGAATATTCAACAGAAAACAACTACTTTCCTGGCTATTCGCCACGTCGAACATTGAATTTTATCTGTTGAATATACAAAAAGAGAGCATGAAAAATCAAAATCCTCTGAAATTGAGAATTGTCTCTCAAATCGAATAGAATGATATGATAATATGATGCATTATGATATAAAAATATAACTTACCAATATGTTCATATTGAAATGAAAATTGAAATTTATAGAAGTACATTTTTATGAACTCTGATCTTGATGAGCTTGAAACTTCGATTTGAGAGATAATGACAATTCACAATTTCAGAGGATTTTGATTTTTCATGCTCTCGTTTTGGATATTCAACAGATTTAATTCAATGTTCGACGTGGTAAATAGCCAGGAAAGTGGTTGTTTTCTGTTGAATATTCAGAATGATATTATATGCATATCTTTATATGGAGGAGAATGCAAATTCTCTATTTCAGAAGATTTTATTTTCAAATTCTTATCGTGTGTGTTCAATAGATGTAATTCAATATTCGTCGTGGCATATAGCCAGGAAAGTAGTTGTTTTCTGTTGAATAAACTGAGAAAGAATCAATATTTTCATCACATGGAGAATGCGAATTCTGAATGTATTTCTTTATTTATATATCCATTTTTTGTGTTCATAAAGATATCTGAGAATATTCCTTTCCAATACTTCCACCCAATCAAGGGGTTCAAACTTGAAAGATGGAAACTTGTTATTTTTATAGACCTCAATCGCAGATTCGTGATTAAATACCTAAAACAGGTACAGATAACTGGGTACATAAATTTTAATGAACATGAAGGCTAGTAGAGGCCAAAGCAGGAAGAAGATTTCAAAACTGGAAGATGAAAATTATATTACTATATTATCATATTATAGGACCTTCGGTTTGTGAGGATTAAGGCTGATGACGGACACATGACTGTCAGAAACATGTTTCCCTAAATAATCATTCGATTATTAAACATTGTGTAGATGATTTCGTGTTTTCTAACCCTCTAATAATTATTACTTTGCACTGACTATTTCACTCATCTTGAAGTTGTCACATAATATGACCAATCCGCAAGCCAAAGATACCTTATATCAGTCGCAATGGGAGTGAATTCTATATTGGTGACATTCGAAAATTGAAAAATATTTACTTGAAATTACCCTTAAATAGAACAGCTCTGGCAACACAGAAAATAGGATTATGATGTTAGTACTGGATTCCAAAGATTCCTGTCATGTACTTGTAGCATTTGAATTTGCTACAAGATAATATTAGCTAATTATTTTGATGAAACTTATCAAATTACAGTAGAGTAGCACTGTGGTGTGCTGAGATTTGTTTTTATTTTTCTTTGGTGTAATAAACATAGTCTTCATATTCTTACCTTATGAATTTGAGAAGAAACCATACTCACAGTGAACATTCAGTCTGACATATAGTAAATAATCCTTGAGTAATAGAACATTTAATTAAACAACCATATCATATCACACACAGTTTTGAATGAGATCTTTTAACAAACAAATTCCAATTGTAGAGTACTCATTTCTTCTGATATTCTATGTGCTGATAGGAGGTGATGATGTAAGCTGCAGGAGTCTTTGATTTCTGGCGTTCTGATCCTAAGGCCCTAGAATCGAAGAAAATATTTAATATTGTAATCCATTCAAAAGTAGACAGACAACTTACCGTTGATGTTCTCCAGGGCGATAAATCCTATTTCGCTGGAATATCTCAGGATTTATGATGTTGTTCATTCTGAATTGGTTTCAATTTGGATAAATTTCTTTGTTTATTTTTGGGATAATATTTCAGGTTATATTTTCATGTGTCATCAGGATGTCACTGTCACTGTTGTCATACTGCAGTCATTGTGGACTGTCATTTGTCTTCTGTGAAGGATTTGGAGATTATTCCTATGAAGACAGAAGAAGAAGAACAATTCTTCTTAATAATTAGGGCGTCAGCATTTCTTCGACCAATAGGATTCTTGGATCTCATATTTGGCGCTGATTTGGGATTTCAACAGGAAACTAGGGTTTCTTGACTAGTTAAATCGAGGGTAGGAGAATTTCCGGCACGTACCTACCTCACTTTTTCTCGGTTAGCCATGGTGGCGTGCACTTGACCTGTGAAAAGGATTTTGATTTTCTCGGTGAAAACCGTAGAAACCCTTAGGGGTATTTGATTTTGGGAAGCCGTTGCTTACCGGTTAGTGGATGGAATCTCTGTCAGGAAGCCATTTGTTGGATTTGTTCCTGGAGACTGCCATGAAGTTTTAGAAGCCATGCAGCCCGGCCAGTTTCAGTCCTTAAAAAGCAAGATCTAAAAAATTCTTCAATCCTACCTCCCTTCTCAGAAGGTAAGTCACAGCCATAGCAGATTCAGCAGTGAAATCTTCGAAAATATATCCTGTTCTTCAGTTTTTTTCTGTTGTCTCCACGTGCTCTGTGTGCCCTCTCAGGAGGCTATATTCAGATTATTTCTTAGGGTGCTAGGGTGCAGCTTAGCTGTGCTTCGGACTCCTGGTAGCGACCGGCCCTCAGGATACTCTACTCTACCCTTGTCAAGATCCCCCAGTGGATCTGAGTAATCCTGCAAGGTCTTCGGATCTTGGCCAGAGTCGACCATGGAGACACCAGATGGAGCCCAGTAGCAGCTGGTAGAGACTGATCCCTGGTTACACTGCATCCTGGAACTCTGCTGACCGTGGAGGTTCAGCATTCCTCGTTTGTGTTGTCTTCACCTGCAGTGACCTATGCTGCACATCTACACTCATACCACTTGGGACCTTGGATAGGGGTGATCTGGACCATTGCAGAGGACCCTTGGACCACTATCAGGTTTTTTTGTTCCACCTTCAGTGTTTTACCTTTCTGATATATATTTACATTTTTTCACGTCTGAGACTGGTTGAGTAATCACATTTTTTACAGTATTAATTCACAAACTGGTGAAGCTCTTGTGAAGCTCTCCCATAGTATACTATGTGACTGCGGTTGCTTAACAGTTCATTGCGCTATCATTCCTTGACTAGTTATACAGTCCGTTTTATAGTTGATATAGGATTGTTACTATACTTATTTTCACTTATTCTAAAAATATGGTAATTGTCCTGGTATAGGTAGGAAAATTATGATAGAATCACCATGCAATTTACTTAACCTACACTATTGAAATAATACAGTACTTTAGTGATTATTTTTCATCATGAAACTGCAGGCCTCTACATAGGTCCATATATAACCTTGTCTCTGGTGGTGTGAAATATAATAGGTCTTGAATTTTATGTTGGTTTTCATTCTTCCATATGTCCAGCCCAGCCTTCTTAGAAAATATACCTTGAACAGCTTCCAGATTTTTGAAAAACAGATTATTTGGAAAGAAATTTGGTTTTCTCAATTATCCAAATTGTAGGATTTTTATAAATTGAGTGGCGTCCAAGAACTGAATTTTCTTCACCATAATTCGAACTCACTTATCTGTTCTCCGATGTACAGCTGCCGATAGCAAATGTGTTTGACTTTTTAATAATTCCATCCTTCCATATTAAAAGTTGGCCACATAAATGGCGCCCAACGTGGGGCCAACGTGTAGGGCCCGAAAATTCTTGTTCAAAATAAGTAAAATTTTGTCTTAAATCTTTTTCAAATTTTTCTTGAGTTTTTTCAAATTTTCTTAGATTGTTGAGCTGGTATGTTTGGTTGAGTGGAGACTATACATTTAGGTCCATGTGGATGTGGATGTGAAGTATAGCTCTGTTTTTGACAGAAGCCTGACAGGAAAGTTTTTCAACAGAAGAGGCTTTAGTATTTGTTGTGCTGGAGAGCACTGCGGTGAGTGTTGTCTAATTGTGTTGTAATAAAGTACATATTTTGGAGCAGTGATTGCAATTTTAAATAGTAATGAAAATTTCCATCATGATTGATAATTTCTGGTAACTATTTTGACAGATATTTTTCATGGGAATTTTTAGAAAATTTTTGTGACTGCAGTACTTGGGTATCATCTGTTTTCTTTGTTCTTCCTTCACACTATTCATTATGGATTATATTAAGGCAGAACTTTTGCTCATAGCAGAACTTAATTATGAACTGAAAATTAGAGGTGTTATTTCTGAACGTAGCATGGATGAAAAGAGAAAAATTTTGGGGCGCCTCTTGGCTAAAGAAATTCAACAAGGACACAATGTATTGTCTTTTGTTGACTCAACATTTAATTTTGCATCTGAAAAAGTTGACATTGAAAACACTTTAACATCTATACAAACTTTAATCAGTGCTTTTGAGGGACCAACATCAGATTCTACCTTTAAGAGAGCAGAATCTAGAATATGCCATGTAACTAGGAGAATTCAAAGAATACCTTTGAATCCAAAAGCTCTTAATTTTGATGAAATGTCAATTTTTAAAAATAAATCGTATGCAACAGCATTGCAATTAGATGCAGAATTACATGAGAAGGTATCTGATCCAGAGTCTGATCCAGTTAATGTGCCATTGATGAGTTCTACTGTCAATCCACTAGTGAGACCATCTACTAGTCAGAGTCAGAATTATTTTTCACCAAATTTAACAAAGTCAACACCTGTGTATAAGTTAGGACTTCAATTTGATGGTGACTCCAAAAA